CTGGCTCTAAGTTTTATGCCCTTTATTGCCTCCAAAGCTTTGTTAACATATTATATAAATATATTATTTAAATATTTTATAAATATAATGTAAATATTATATGCACATGCCATGCACAGTGAACACTTTGCAAAGTGAGCTGTGCTTTTCTGTTTCTTTGGTGCCCATCTTGCAACTCTTATGATATATATTATGTCTTATATGCCATGTTTGGAAATAATAATTACCGAGTTATTTTTAGAACTGTTTACAAAATTCTTATATCCCCATACATGCTTCTTCTGTTACCTCTATAATATTTCCAGGTTCTCAGTGTTCTAGCTACATTGACAGTTGTTTGCTGTAACCAGAGGAGAAAAAACCTCCACCATGGTGGTGTGATGGAAAATGTAGGAAAAGGAGTCTGAGGCAAAACATGAAGGAGAAAGGAGTCATTCAGGCAGTAGCTGATTTGCTTTAGAAATTTCCTCCCTTACCTCATCATTACTTATCCCTCTTCCTCCTCCTCTCCCCATGTACCCATCATGTTTGTGCTCGTACGAGATGGAGTAGGCTCATGCTAATCAGTTAATCAGCTATTTTCAATTCAATTCCTGTCTGTGCTTACCACAGAAAATTAACAGTCCTTGTGTATAAATATGACCCCTACTCCTGGATTAATTTGATTATGTGAGAATCTCAGTTTTCATTTAAAAATAATAACTTTCTGGCTGCTCTGATAAAACAAGTTTGGATATGTAGTCTAAATATTCCCTAATGGTTTCAAAATCAAAAGATAAATATGAAGAACATATGAATCTGTTAATAATAAAAGATAAATATCCTCAAATCTTTACTCTGATTGCTTGAGACTGAATATTTTGAGACCAGAACATTTCTGATTTTGAGTCAGAACTGGATCAGCATTCTCTGAAAGCCAAATCTTTCTTAAGCAGCTTAATTTGGGTCCACAAATAGAGAACTCATGTTCATTAATGACTGTGGGTATCTTAACCTAGAGTTTCCCTTGGATATCGTCACTTATGCAAAATGCCTTGTGTGACTGGCTGCTCTACATTAGAGCAATGCTTTGATTTTGCACATGTGAAAAAGAAGCACAAACTTCAGCCTCTAATCATTGCAAGTTTGATTCTCTTAAAGGTCTGATAAATGCTATAACTTTGTAGCAATGGCTTTATTAGGAATCTAGCTTGGTGGCAGTGAACTTCTATTTAACTGAACTTTAAATTTCCTCTGGCCTTATGGCCCAGGGAACAGTAAATCTGTTTAGAACCAAAGTCAGGCTAGCTTGAAAGCAAGTATTTTTTATAAAACTTCCTCACTAGAACATCTTCTGTTGTTAAATTTATCTGTTACAGGTGCGATACCACTGACATACATAGAACTGTGAAGATAAATGAAGTGTATGCCAATAAATTAAAATGTGCCAGAGAACAGGTCCAGGCACTGAAAGTTTGATTGTCCATGTGGGTAAATTGCTAGGATAGGATCTAACATGATTTCATCTAGGTTAATTAACACTCTCAAGTAGCTTCTAGATATGACTTGTTTATTTTAATAGTTTACAAGTGCAGAAACAGCCTAATCTGCGTGTGGACAGAACTTGAAGTTGGCGAATCTTTAGCAAAGGGCAATTGTAGCACTATGTTAGAAACTGTTGAGGGATAAGCTGCAGAGACTGAATAATCTGAAGAAAAATTGAGGACCTGTTTAGCAACTTCTGATTATCTTCCCATACATTATGCTGTTTCCTTCACAGATACAGAGGATCTGTGAAGGATTATTTCTATAAAAAACCCCAAGAATCTAAGGAGCGCAGGCTAGGCACTGCATCAGTCTAAAGCAGACTTTGCCTGAAGCTAAAGTTGAATGTTAAGACCTCTAGGATATGTGCTGCTTTCAGCTCATACTAGTTCTGTTCAGCAGGGAGCAAAGTATGTTGCAGATATCTCTCAGGCTTAGTTTGAAAAATGGTAGAGAGTTTTTGCAGTTGAGGATGGAGCAACTTTTGGCAGTTTTCACAAGAAGTCCCCTGTTGTTTATTTGTGAATTAACATTCCTGAAAATGCTGCCAGCTTGAATATCAGTAAAACAGAAATAGAAAAATCATTCCTTACCAACTGGCTTTCTGTTGAAACCTTGAGGATCAAGAAGGTTGAGAAAATGCATAAAGACATCCATGTCCTCCCAGTTTCCAAATGGCTGAATAGTGGTGTAGTCCACTGAAGGATGAACCCTGTGAAGTACGTTATTTTCACCATTAGGAAGCTGAAGTTAATTTCTTATAGTTCTTTTATCAATGTTCCCTGATAATCTTTGCATGCTTCTGTAACATCAGGCTATATATTATTTTCTGTAAGCCCTTGTCTCTGGAATGATGATGAGCTTGGAAGAGTAATTTGTTATTTCTGTTGGCAAGTTACAGGGAAAATCCTCCTATTTTTTTGTCTTCTGAGGCTACTCAATCCAATTAGCCTGTGAGAATTAAAGCTTATGAGTTCACAAGAAAAGCTATTCTGTAAAAAGCCCCAAAGTGCCGTGTTCTTTGAATATTGCCATTGTTTAGACACTCTTTATACTTCCGCGTTGATACTTTCGTCCTAAGGTTGAATGTAAGTTTTGTGAAAGTCCTTTCTTTCGCTGTTTAGTGTATTTAGGCAAGGTGCAGGGAATACTAGAAAAATGGTAAAACAAAGTACGTATGACAAGAAAATTATCTTATCTGGCTGTGATCTTCGAAACAAAAGTATAAAGACATTGGAAGACAACTTGAGAACTCTGAAAATATTACTTTCATTCAAGCCTGTCTTACCTCTAAAAGTTTAATTTTAATATATTGAAAGCCTCACCATTTGAAATGATAACTGTTTCATACATCATGTATGTCATTCACTCTTTAAATGAAGGCAGCTATCTGGAATAGGGCAGGGTTAGTTGATTTGATCTTGCATGATGTTTCATAATTTTTCTGACTGTTCACTCATCTCAGATGGCTGCAGATCATGTTAGTAATACAAGCTATAGCTAATGAGGTTAAAACCTTGTATGGCACTGGTCAGAGTACTCCCACTCTGGAACCTCCCAACAATTTCCTTCCTAAAACCCCTCCTTGGCTTGTGAGGTGTGAACATTCAATCTTCCCAAATGCAAACAATTGACTCCATGGCACTTCCCGCTCCAGTGGCAGATAACCCTGATTTTTCTTTCTCATTGACTGTTGATGAATGTTTGATGCCAGCTGGGATTAGTACTGTGCTATGCCTCCCTGCTAATGAAAAATATTGCTTTCAGAGAACTCACAAGGCAGTCCCATGTTCTTAATTTGACCTGGTTTATTCCTCACCAGTTTCTGTTCAACGGGAAATAAAGTAATGCACATGCTGAGAAAACCTCTTGGTTTTCTCCCTGGAAAGTATTTTGTGTACAGAAACCTGTATTTTAAGTTCAGGCAATTTTCTTTCTGCTATTGTTGAAATAAATCTTAGTGATCAAGAAATGAATGCGGTCATGCCAGTGGAAAAGGTTGGAAATATTCTGTTGTGCATCTGTATATTTTATTTTATTTGGAGGTTGTAGAGCTCTTTTCCAGGCTATAAATACAACCTTTGTGTATGTAACCTTCGAGGTTATATACACAACCCTTATTATACAATAGTGATAAGCCTATATTATCACATTTTCCTTATGCTGAGGAAAGTACACTGGGATGAAAAAGAAGTGCATTGGGATGTGAAGAAAGTATTATTTAGTTTGGAAACTGAGCAGCTTCTAGTCCTTGGGAGCCATCTTGTCATGGAAGGAATAAACCCAGGTTTCTACTACTTTACTGGATAGCAATAATCCTTATGAGCAGTAGCAATGCCAGAATATTGCATTTCCCTGTAAGCGTTGTATTCCTTAAGACTGAAAGTCTTATTCTTGATTTGGATTTTATGCAATGCTTTGCATAGGTGTTCTGTCTTTTGTCCTCCTGTATACTTGTGCGAGGATATATAACTTAGCCTTAAGCCTCAGCTCATGATAGCTGTAGCTCATCCATTTGCTTCGGCAGACCAGAAGATTTCCCAGAGCCCAGCTGCTCTGTAAAAAAGACGGTATTTCACCTGTGAGTAGGTAGCCATGGTGGTGGAAAAGGACTGTTTAACTAAAGTAAACTTCAAATGGGCCAACTTTTCGATTTCCATGAAAATAGTGGGTGATATTTTGCAAATTTTGTGTCATGCCTCAAATTTTCAAAGAAAAATGGAAGAAATCTGTCCAAAGCATAGAGGAAGTGTCCTTTCCATTTGCAGAGACCTGGTGGAAGATGGAAGGTGCTGGGGCTGCTGACTCCAAGTCACTGAGGGCTATTGCAGGATGGGTTTTGTTTTGCATTTTGTGCTCCTCTCCCCTTCTTCATTAAACCTTGGTTAATGCAAGAGCAGTTATGTTTGTTCTGTTACCGTGGTTTCCAATGGCGACAGTTATTTAACAGTTTTAAAACAGTCTGAGGAGCGACGGCTGTAAAGGACAAACTCTGTCATGAGTGGATATGGCATTACAGTGTGTTGGTAAAATATTCATTTTAGTGAACAGATTGCTGGTTCTACTGGGTGTAAATGTGCAGGTTTTGGTAGTGGGAGGGTTGCAGGGGTGTCCTCTTTGAGGAAGAGGCCGGGGTTGCCCTGTGTCAGGCCCAACTGGATACAGCCAGTTCTGGCAAAATGTATGTAGTAAAGGGCAAAACATGGCACAGCAGTGAGAAATGGGGGGAAAAATGTGAGAAACAGCCTATAAGCCTGAAGGTCAGCCAGGAAGGTGAGCTGGGGAAAATGGGAGTGGGGGAGTAAGGTGGTGGTGTGTGTGTTTCTTGCTATCCACTATTCACCTTATAGTGAATTGTGCAGGTCGGCTTTCAAAAATCTGACTGCAGGTTTCAGTAGAACTGTAAGAAAAAAACCCTGTTGTTTTATGCAAAGCATATATTCTGTTACATTTTTACTTTTTTTTCCCCCTTCTAGATAAACATCATGTCAATGGAAACAGAACGGTAGAACCTTTCCCAGAGGGAACACAGATGGCTTTATTTGGTAAGACATCAGTTTTAAAATAAAAGCTCTAAGCTGTATAATGTTACTGCCTGCCAAATTTCTTAATTTCAGCCTGAGTCCTGAGAGTTTTAGATTCTGGGCTGCTATTGCCATTTTCTAATCACTACAATCAGCTAAAGCCACTGATCATTTTGAGAGGTCCATACCCCAAAGAGGTATACTAAAAGTATTTTTCTTAATTAAACAAACAGAAGATTTGAACCCATATTTTGTTCCATAAAAATTCCCAAATTGTGTGATAATTCCAGTAAGATCATTTATTACTCCAAAAACTATCTTATCAGTTGATGACTGCAAGGAAAGCATAGTGAGTGTTAGCTTTTGGGTGTAACAAATGTTTCTGTAGTTACATGGCAGAAGAGGAGAAAGGGTTTGTGGGTGACACTGTTCAGTTGCAGTCATGGTTTCTTCAAGTTCTCTTCAGAGTTCCTCTAATTCACTATTGTCTTTCTGCCAGTATCCCCTTGTCTGTGGGGTTTCAGAACATAAAAGAATTCTTAGAGGTGTGGAATAAGAGACTGATAAATTTTTTTTGCAGCTAATAGGAAATGATTGTATGTTGCTTTTTAGGTTTTAAGGTCAAGGTGTATTTAGAGATTCTTCTTGGAATTTCTTAGAGCAGGCAGGGTCAGAGAGTTCTGGTACAATCTCATGTTGATGAAGTCTTCACTGTTTAAAATCTTGTAAAGGTCCTCCTTTATTTCCTGTGGGATGGTCAGATCAGTTTTCCAGTGCTTGTGGTGGGTATTGGTGTGAGTGCCTCTACTGGTTATCTCACAGTTAATTAGACATGATTTGTAAAATTTCATAGAAAGTAATATCCTACCTATGGAATTTTATTGGAAGAGCACAAAATCATATTAAACAGCCTACTTTGAATCATTCCTGAGGAACTCTATTATATTCATATCAAGCTTGGTAACTTTAATAATTTTTAAATTGCCCTAGGTTTTCCACAAGACTGTGATTCCAAATGTTGGGGTAGGTGGTGAAAACTCATGCTGCTGCCATCTGTGCTACGAATAAATGGAAAACGTACATGTTCTTAGGTTTACTATTAGACCTGAAATATAATAGTATACAAATATGACTCTGATGATAATTGTTGTCATTTGTTGGCATTGGCATCACGTGCTGATATATGGTACGGAAAAATGGAGCTACCTGTTGCTACCTCCAAGGGGGCAGCATTTGCTGGCCCTGTGTGGATGGGAATGAAAGGAAGCACTCAAAGAAGAAAACAATTATCTGTTAGTAATTCTTCTCAGACTATTACACATCCTGTCGTTGTATACTCCTGTTAATAGCAAGTTCTTTGTATTTTAGGACTCTGTAAGATAGGGGGAAGAAACTGGTCTGAGCTAGTAGACTTTCTGACTTTGCCTTAGCAAGACAGGGCTTCTCACCCTTCTTCACTAGAAACACCCTCTAATCCTTTAATTGGGCTTGCATAGGGACAAGTCTCGAACAGCTCTAGTTACTAAGAAGTAATCCCTCTTCCTTTAAAAGATCTACAAAAGCTAAAAGATGGTAAATAACCATATGGTTTTGTAGATATAGCCTACTTGCTGTGATTTTTTCTACTGCTTGGATAGTTTTAGATTCACCACTAAAACTAACAGCATGAAACATAATGTGGGGTTGTAAACACTAATCCTTTTACCTGCTCGCAAAATGCAGTTAGATTGCATTACATAGCCCCATCTTCTGCAAAACATCCTTTGAGATGCTTTTACTGATGCTGCATTATTTGCTTTATGGTAGGACTTTTTTGTTTTGATCAAGCACAGGTGAATGCACATGGGTCGTTGTTCTTGCAGGTTTCCCATTTATAACAGAAGCTCGTAGTTTTCAAAAGACTGTTAAAATGATCTTGAAATTCTCCAGTTGTCTGTTAAGGAACATTCAGCTGCCTAATACACACCTATTGTTCATTAGAATAAAGAAATGCGCCCTTGTTTCTACAATGGTGAAAAAGCTGGATTTCAAGGGTGGGAGTGACTCTTTAATGGAAATCTTTTAATGCTAACCACCCAGTGACCTCTTAATCAAGTTTCCAGCTAATATTGAAGCATTAAGAGCATGGGAGGTACACACGCACCGCTCACAGCCTCACTAGAGACTCAGTTGCTCTATCAAGAATCATTGTGTCCCTTGAAGTAAAGAAAGGGGTGTGTTCCCTAGTTAGGTGACTGAAACTGATGAAACTCTAGATGTTATGTGTTAGGGCTTGTAAAGTAGAAACCATACAATAAATGCGCGTCCATAAAGCTTTCTTGTAGTTTTTGTGGCCATAGGTATTTTCAGTCACAAGTACTTTGCCTGTAGTGACTGATTTTGACCAAAAACCTAACCGAAAGTCAAAACCTAAACAAACATTAGGGGGTTGATAATGTTTTGAAAAGAAGCAATTTAAGGTTTAATATCAACTTTTGGATAGAGGTGTAAAAAAGGAAAAGAAATGCTTCAAAGCTGCAGAACATATACATCATTCAGTAAACTAGTATGTCCATCAGTGCCATTGTAATTCCTTGCATATTTAAAACACATTTAAACATACTGCTGTATTTTGCTAAGAAATATTTCCGGTCAGTATTTAATACTTTTAAATGCATATATTTCTTACTGAGTACTGCTATTGGAAGACTCCCAGGGCAGCTATAAATTCACTCTGCTTTATATGCTGTCTTATTTCTCTAAGAGGAAGCATTGTGTGTATGGTGTGTTCGTAGAAGGGCTCTTACTTACCTATAGTAAAATCTGACAGTAGTTCGGATACATAATTATAACACTTTTTAAATACAGGACTAAACTGTGTTGTATTTGCCTGACATATACTGGCCAGTAATGGGATAATTGGTTTCTTTTTGTAAACAAAATATAGATAAAAGTAGTATGTTAAGTAACTGGTAAGATCTAAGTACAGATATTTCTGAGTTGGCAGTTCTGCTCTGCACTTCCTAGACGGCAGCATGTTCTCTATAGTAACTCTATAGAGACATATTGTTGTACTTTGAGTGAGTTATTATATCCTGTTGAGACTCAGGTGTAGCCTGTGCGCTCCCACAGTTCCCACTGCTTCCAAAGGTTATTTGAAATCTACAACAGAATTACACTGAGATTGCCCAATTAGTCCCAGCAGAGCCAAGGGTTTCTCATCCATTGCACGTGGTGTTTTCAGTTGCCTCTGCATTGTGGCACCACACAAGACCTGTGTAGCTTATGTGATTGGAAAGCTGAGCTCCTCAAACAAGATCTGCTGTTGAGTGGTTCAAGTCTTTCAAATAAAGGCTTGATCAGGGCAAATTTTCAACTAAAAGAAAATAATTTAAGGTGAAAGAGGGAGGATGTGTTTCATAACTGATCACTCTATTTAGAATTCCTTTTACTTGTTCCTGAAACAGCTACTGCTGGCCATGTAAGATAAAGAAGTATGTTAGGAAATTCTGGTCCAACTGAGTTTTCAATTAGTATGTTTTTGTGATAATCTCTCTATGCCAGGAAAAGGAAATCATAGGAAACAAAGTTTGGACCCCAAGAGAAATACTTTTTTTTATAGACAGTAAAAGTAGAACCATTTTTCTCTGTTACTCAAAAAAAAAAAAGGAAAGAAAACTTTAAACCAAAAGGAAAAAAAAAATTACCATGTCAGAAAAGGTTATTATCTAAAGAGAATGTAAGACTTCTTGATATTGAAACAGGTGTGTGTGTTATGATCCAATTTATAGGAGAAACATCTACAGCAATACTACCAGATGTTACAAGGATCATGTTATAGAAGAACCGAGAGCTAGAGGGTATGCCTTTCAGAATGATTCATGTTTCTCATGTTAATTCTCTTTAAACATATTGGAGAAGTGAAGGAAGTGTACTAACTGGCTGGATTTATAAAACACTGAGGCATTAAAGCTTTTCTGTGTTCACGAGGTGGTATAAAATGGACAATGAACTTTATGCAGTTCTGGAATAAGAAAATGAACCTGTGAAGACATTGTATAACAAACAGGGGTTGGCTGCTCTGTCCTTGAACCAAATCATAAAATCAGAACAGTTTGGGTTGGAAGTTCCAACTCCCCTGCCCTTCCACTAGAACAGGTTGCTCAAAGTACCATCCCATCTGCTCTTGAACACTTGGTCCTGTTCTTACCTTTGCATTATTAAAGAAATATATCCTTATTTCCTGTTTTCTTTTTTTATCTTCCAGATGATGACTTACAGACAGCATCCTTTTGTTGCCCTTTCCAGAGAACTGAACCACAACCCAGTTACCTGCCCCTAGTATCTGTTACTGGTTCATCCTTATTGTGACCAGTGCCTAAACATCTTTGTAATCTTGCCTGATGCATGATGATCTGCTTTGCTACTCAGGGGGTATGTCAGCTCTAAGCAATCACCAGGGAACTCTTACATATATATGTCTATATGTTTCTGATATAAAAGTCTAACCAGGGAAGGCCTGAACTGAAAATTTTCCCCTAAGCCTGTTGTAAAATAAGCTGATAAACACAAAAATAAGTATAATTCTGGGGCCTTTTGAAAATAAAAAATCTTGATACTCAGTTTCTCTTGTCCTATAGCATATCACAGGCATTACTCATTAAATGCTGGTGGTCTGATTTGATAACATCATGCATCAACTTTGTGGTTGTGCATATGGCCAATTGCAGAGCAAGGCAGACCCAGATAAATGCAAAATGCAATGGTCTGCTTGGTCTTTGCCAAGGACATTTCCTGACATTTATAAACACTAATAAAGGGCAATAAAATATCCCTAATGCAAAGTGAAAGCTGTCCTTGATCAGCACAGCCCTTCATAACATTCTTTTATTTCAAAGGATCCACATCTCTTTCTTTCTTCTTCTGAAAACAAAAGTAATGTGGCCTTCGAACACAATATCTGTCCTTCTCCATCAGGGACTTGCTTATGTTAATTTAGCTTTCTTGAGGTATATGAAGAATTTAGCCACGTGTGATTTCCA